AGAAACCATGTTGACCTCTCTTTGTGGGCCTCTGTGCCTGTGTGGTGTCTCTCCTCGCCCAGTGAGGGCAATCTGCTGCTGCTCAATGAGGCGCTGGCAAAGCACGAGACTTTCTTCATCCGCTGTGGCATCTTCCTCATCCTGGAGAAGCTCAAGATCATCACTTACAGGAACCTCTTCAAGAAAGTGTGAGTGTGCCCGCCCGGGGAGACGCTCAGTGGACAGAGTGCTGCTCTGTGAGCCTGTGGACCAGAGTTGGAACCCAGACTCCGCGTGAAAGCTGGGCTTGCAGACCAACTCACCTGGCATGTGAGATGTAAAACAGTCGCGATAAAGAGACCCTGTATCAGCAGGCGGAAGACAAGTGTGCAGACAGCATACACATAGACACACACACGCACAAGCAAAAAAGAAAATGGGGTGTCTGGTAAATAGAACCCTTGGGGCAGATGATGCAACCTGTTGTGGCCTGTGGGGGTGGCATCCTGCCCCTCATGGGACAGAAGCTGACCCTGAAGGCAGAAGACTCAACTTTAGCTTGGGGTGCCAGATGGCTTCTGCATGTCCGAGCTGTGGGGAACTGATTGATGTTCTCTTTCTTTCTCCAGCAGTTGGCTTATCTTCTCCACTGCTGTGTGTGTCCAGGAGTTAAGTGTGTTAGCTAATGGCAATCTATCAGAAATAGTGACTGTTTACAGTAGAAAGCTTATATACGATTATATTTAATAGCTGTTGTTTGTGGGGTGTGTTTTGGGATACATCTAATCAGTGGGAACTTAAAATATGTGTGAACATGGGTTCACTAAATGATGTCATTTCTTACTCACTGCTCAGGGCTCCTCATTGGTCCTTGAAGCATTGAGTCCTGTTATTAATTATGGTAATTTCTCTTCCTCTGTAGGTATTTACTACTCAAAACTCATCAGCTGTCTCTAGATGCCTTTCTGGTCGCCTTGAAATTCATGCATGTGGAAGATGTAGACATTGATGAAGTCCAGTGCATTCTGGCCAACTTGATATACATGGTGCGTGAGTCTTTCCTGCTCTCAGCGGACCTTTAGTGTGGCGCTGATGTCATCTGAAGACCTTCTATTTGTGGGCGGTTTCTGATGGAACTGTTTTCCCAGGAGATACTATTCAAAGGGCCTCCCAGGGGTCTGTGTGAGAGAGAGGTATAACCTCCATTCTGTATTCTCTGCCATCTGTGTTTCTTAAGCTTCCGTCCCCAGGGGTTTTCATCATCGTGTCCCCTGGCATATTTGATGTCAGCGGATCCGATTTCTCTGTTTCAGGGTCACATCAAAGGCTACATCTCCCACCAGCATCAGAAGCTAGTTGTCAGCAAGCAAAACCCGTTCCCCCCACTGTCTACAGTGTGCTGATGCCCAGACTCTGCAGATGGAGGGCGCCCCTCTGTACCTGTCTGTAGCCCACTGAGGCGGTCACCAGCACGAGTGCCTAGCCACGTTCTCCATGGTCCTAACTCGTGCCGGCTTTGTTAAGACCTGGAATCCTTTCTCTAGGTGGACAAGCACGCCTGCTCCTGGCTGCTGCTGTGAACTGCCAGGAAGTAAGCAGCTGTGCTTCGGTTTGTGTATTGTTTATGGAGGCTGTCTTTGTAACATTTTGTAGCTTTATCTTTTCTTTTTTTAAAAGTAAACCAAGTTTATACAAAACACATTATTTATTGTGTGTTATTTGTCTATTTTCATACACAAAACCTGAGCATTTTGTGAGCTCAAAATGCTTGATTAACTTGAGGCTTCTTTTTGAAAAGTGGCATTTGGAGTCGCCCATCCCCGCAGTCTCCTACTGTTTTCCTACCTCCTCTTCTGCACAGCCCCCTGAGCCCCACGGGGAAGGGATCTCTGCAGTATCTACATTCTTCTGAGTGATGGGCCATGGGAGGCAATAACCAAAGGCTTTCCATGACAGAGAGAGACATGTCTGCTCCTTGAATTAGCAATCTGTTTTATTGTAGCTTTATTTTTTTAAGAAAACAACTCTTTTTTATTCAATTTACATACCAATCCCAGTTCCCACTCCGTCCCTTCCTCCTATTCCTTCTACCTGCCCCACCCCACCTCAGTCCCCATCCACTCCTCAGACAGGTAAGACACATTGCTTTGGGGAAGGTCCAAGGCCCTCCCTACTATATCTAGGCTGAGCAAGGTATCCATCAGTGTCTTTTAGACAGAATAGTATGGATATTCATCTTAACTCATACATAACCTGGCAGAGCTCACAAGACTTGGCCATATTTAAGTCAGATACGATTCCAAAACAGAGCACACCTGTCTCATTCCTAACAAAGAATCTATCTTCAGCTGAAACCCACTTACAAGGGAAAAAGCAGTTTTCTCCAGTGAAGTATCACCGGATATATTAACAACCATTAATATCACTTAAAGAAGGCCCCATGCAAAGTATTATATGGTCAACACACAACTAACTTAATAAAATTTTGCAAACTTTTTCTCTCAAAAAGTGGAATTTGGGGGCTGGTGGATATTTGGATATCTATTGTTCTGACTGCTGAACTATCATAGTTCAGCAATCAGAACAATCACTGCTCTGTCAAGAGGACCTGGGTTTGGTTCCCACACCCACATGGCCCCTCACAGCCATCTGGACCACCAAGTCTAGGGAATCCAGCGCCCTCTTCTGGCCCCGTCATCAGATGCCCATGCAGCAGCTGCGCCATCAGTATGCCCGTGCAGCAGCAAAATCACCCAGCGTCCTGAGTGTGGGTGAGCTCCACCAGAGCTGAGCCTGCCTTCCTGTCTCCTTTGTGTACAGGTCTGGCACTGCCCTCATGCAGAGCTATCATGCAAAGTGACCCTGCTGTTCAGCAGGGTGTGTAAGCACCCCCAACTTCTGATAAAGTGTTATCCTTGCAATGATTCAAATATTGGCATTCCTATGAGCTTCCTGAATTCCATTCTTTCTGGGTTTAGTAGCAACAGAATCAAATTTTCAGATGTCTCCAGGTAGTTTATTAAACAGTGACATCCCAAGTCAAACACAGACAGTTTAAAGTGGTAAGTAGTTGGACCTCTGTGTAGCATTTTTGTACGTTGTCCTGAATCCTGCGTGTGGAGACGTGGTTTGTGGGCTCACAGAGCCATATGCTATGTGGCTAGTTTGCATCAACTTCAAATGCTCACACCCTATCCCTGAGACAAGGTCTTACTCGACAGCCCAGGCTGTCTCCAAATTTGGGGCCTTCCTCAGTTTCAAGTCCTGGGATTAAAGGCGAGGTCACATCATCACAGCCAGGCTCCTCTCAGAGGCACAGCCCCACTGGCCACATGACTTGAGCTAAGAGGTTCCAACACTCCCTGGAACCTGCCAAGGGGCTTTTCTCCACTCAGAGTGTCTAGCTAAAGCCTTATCAGGAGGTTCATGATTGTCTTCCAATACTAAACCTGCTTCTCCCCAGCAATGAACCAAGCACACTCAGAATTAGGCTACCTTTTTTATCTCACTGGTAATGCTGAGACACCTCTATCCCAGCGATGTTTGTTCTAGTGTGGGTCAGACCAAGTATGCCACAACCACATGTTCTCAGCCCCTCGCCATTCAGCTTCCACTCAGTAGCTCATGAGGTTAACAACTGACATTGGTTTTATTTAACAAACCCAAGGAAACTCCCTGCCAGCTAGCTTTCATTCTACCAGAAGGTGCTGTGCCAGCTGCAGGGGGAGCAAAGGCACCAATGATCTTAGTCCAGTGCTGGACCCTGAATCCACAATACTGACATGCCAGGCAAGATGTGCCTACTGGTGCAGTCATGGCATAGCTACTATAGGGTAATTAACTGCTTTCTAGTTGAATTTGAGGCCTGCTCCACAGGAGAGATTTTATGTTTGGAACTATAATCTTGGTCAACAGCTCATAACTGAGCTGGTCATAGACCCATGGGCTATGCTAATGTTACTTTGCTAAAACCACCGTGTTAAAAATTGTCTTCTATGCCAGGCAGTGGTGGCATGTGCCTTTAATCCCAGCTCTCAAGGGAGTCAGAGGCAGGCGGATCTCAGTGAATTTGAGGCCAGCCTAGTCTACAAAACAAGTTCCAGGACAGCCAGGGCTGTTACACAGAGAAACCCTGTCTAAAAAGAAAGAAGTTAAAAATTGTCTTCTAAATATTTGTGTTTATCCACATAGATCTGGATTTTTCTCCACCTTGGTCAGAAAGGGTTTTTTTTGTTTTGTTTTGTTTGTTTGTTTTTATAATAGGCAGCAATTAATGCAAAGATGCATAATTGGTCCAAGTGCTGAGAACAAGAGACTGTTCAGTCCTAATGGAACATTTTAATGAACACTCCCCATCCTCTGCACCCTCACCACCTCCACCAAGGCCCAGGGAACTTTGTGGAAGAGAAGCTGGAAGAATATATGAGCCGGAAAGTGGGAGGGCTGCCGTGAGATGCTGTCTTCTGGACACAGCATGATGGTTTTATTTACAGACTCAGCATCCATGGTGGCCAGACAAGACTGGCATAGAAGGGTTGGGTTGGGGTGTGCACCATACCCCTCTCCTTGCTGAGGAGCTGTTGGCAGTTGATAGTTGCAAAGCATCGTTTTTGAGGGTGCCCCGGTGCATGGCCCCACACCACACACACAGGGAGTTGGAGCTGGCTTCTCTAGCTCCAGCGTGAGATGTTCTCCCCAACTCCTCATCTTAACGCGTGTGCATGCGAGGTGGTACTCACGGAACTTACTGGGTTATCAAAAAAAGACACGAGGGAGGTGTTGGGTCCAGGGGGGTCGCACAAAGATGAGAACACCACCAAGTCTAACAAACCAGAAGCAAACTTTATTCCAGAAACCAGATCCTAGGAAAACCAGAAGCAAACTTAAAAATAAAAAAATAAAAAGTAAAAAAACACCGTGGGGCACAGAAGCTTATCAGCTAGCTGAGACCACAGCCAGAGATGGTGTTTGTTAGGCTGTGGCAAAAGGCTAGTTTCTGAACCCACTTTTTATAGTTAGGGCACCAAGCTTTAGGTCTGAACAAAGGAGTTTTTACGATCTTACCCTGACCTGTGGGTCAGTCAACATAGACCTGAAGGAGGGGAGTGAGTTCTAACGTCCATGGGTAACTAGGCAGCTATAGTGAAATATGTTTGAGAGTAGATTACAGCGAAAGTCACTGATTACAAGAAAACAGGTGTCTTTAGCAATTAGTCAGAAAAGGGACTGCTAGTAATATCAGAGGGTTGGTAAATCAGAATGATTGGTTCTTAGGCTGGGAACTTAGAAGACAGCAGAAAATTCTTGACGCTATCTCATGTTAAAACTCAGATACAGACTGCCATACTTTATAACCTCCATTATCAGAGCTCATTAGTTAAACCAGGTGCTTGCACCGTGGTCACTGTCTTTCCTGGTACCTCCAGGCAGTGTATACTGAAGCCCCCACGCCTCCCCTTTGATGGTGCCAGTTTTCCATAACAGAGACAGTGCTTAACCCAGAGGTCACATAGCTCTGTCTCCTAGAGGTTAACTCAGTTCATATCTGTTATTCATCAGGTATTGCCAGGGCACTACTCTCAGTTTGCAGAGAGAAGCTCCGGCCTTGTAAATAGAACAGCCAGTTGTAAAATGAAATGACCTAACTGATGGAGGCTTCTTAAGCGTCTGAGAAAATAGTTCACTGTGAATGATTGACCCTTGATCTGCTGAGAAAGCTGCTGACAGTCTGTTCTCATTCCCCTAGACTTATAACTTTATATTTTTTATTTCTACATTCTTATTTTTGAAATCTACATTTTTATTTTCTTATTCTTGGACTCTTCAGGAGGGACATGTTGAAGGGAATATAAGGTGAGCAGAAGGGAAATGGGGCATGGATGTGGTCATATTTCATTGCTTGTGTGTATGAAATTCTCAAGAATAAAGAAGATTTCAAAGTTCCAAGGAAAGCAACATCACCTTCCAGTGGTAACTGTGTGGCAGGATCTGACCACCCTGCAGCCATGTTGTTGGATTTCGGTCACTTCATAATCTGTTTAAACCACATTGAGTATCTTGGGACCGTGGTGAGGAGCAAGTGTGACTGCTCCGGTGGGGGTGGCGAACCCAGGATCCCTGTGAGGAACCAGGTCCCCTTGTGTTCTCGGGTGATCACGCTCCCCTCCACCCAAGCCCCGGTCACCACGCTGCCCTTCTCACAGCTTGTTCTCGTTGTGACCGTCACGTTCAGGGTCTGTTCACACTCCTCCCCATCCGCGTGTGTGACTGGAAGCATCATCTGTGTGGCACCCAGGCCTGTGCCATTGAGTGTCCAGCCGCTGAGGAGACCGTCTGTTCCAGGGATGAGGACATTCTCGGCGAAGTCCCTCTCTGGGATGCAGACAGGGAGCCCAGGGCTGGGACACTGCAAGGGCTCCTCCAGCTCCAGCAGGGAGAGGTCGTTCTCCCCAGACTCCTCATTGTAACGCATGTGCACGTGAGTGCTCCTGACCCCAATCCTCTGGCCAGCACCTGAAATCATAAGCAATCAACCGACTTAGAAAGTTTTGCTTTCACAAGTGGGATAGTTAGCCTCCAGGAACTGTGGATTTCCCAGCAAAACCCTGAGGGGCAGAGGCAGTGTTCTGGGACTTGAATGCAGACCACAGAATGGGCCAGGTCAACTCGTATCCATGGCCTCCTCACACTGACCTCTGCAAAAGGCAAAGTTTTATTCTGGAGTACAGTACAGCGAGGGGATGGTGCCAGTTTTCCATAACAGAGACAGTGTCTGGTTAGTAAACAGGCAGCGGTGAAAAGGAACGTCTTCAGGCCAGTCTGAACATGGCCGCTCGGGACTCCTCAGGCAGTTAGTTCTTTCAGGATGAGTCCCAGCTTCTTGTTTGTCCATACAAGTATTTCAGGGTAAAGAGTGAGACACGCTCACTTCTAGGCTCACACTTGCTGTCGAGCATCTCCGAGCTGATGATAGGAACATTCCAGCGGGGAGAAAGGACTGTCCAGGTTTTAGGGATGAAAAATGAGGCTACGGATACGTCCTGAGGTGAGATAGGGTAGCAGCCCAAGATCGTGGGGAGGAAGGATTTGAATCCAGCTCCTCTGGCCCTCAGCCAGGCCTCTGTGTCCAGGTGGGTGCTCTACCGCTGAGATTTGTCCTGTGCTACTTAGCACTGGCATGTCGCGTCCACATTCTAACTGGACATGTCTTGTTCTGTATATGCGCGTGATTTCATGACCGCCTCAGTTTTACTGAAGCTATTTCGTGCCTTGCTTTAAAAACAAAATTTCTAGTTGAAAAATTTCCATTTTATTCCTGTTGGTTTATTCCTTTTATTTACAACGACATCTTAGAAAATTCATGAAAGAAATACTTACTTGCTTTTACACTTATATTGTGGTGGAGTAATGAACACTTTGCTGTTGTCAGCACGAAGTCTTCCTGTATTAAAACACCGCCACAGAAGTCCATTCCTTTGGAGTCTGTTAACTTGACCTTAAAAAAGGAAAATGACTGTTAGTAGCCAGTGTAAAAGAGGGAACAGTACATCTGAGTGGCTGTCTGGGCACCAGGGACCATCAGTGTCCATGCCCCACTGCCTCTTCCACAGCTACCGGCACTCTGCCACCTCAGGAAGACATAGAGGCCCTTCTTGGCCAAGGACGAGTAATGGCTGTCAGATTTTTCCCTCCCCCTGGAACAAAGAAAACAGACAGAATTGAGAGACTGGCCTCCAGGGTCATGATCTTTCAGGGGCCAGAGCTTTTGTGACTCCCGAGTTTGCACGGTGCAGGCCGGAATGGGTAACTTAGGCAGAGCCCACAGAGTGTCAAGGGAGTAGAGCGCTCCAGGAGACACACTGGCTGCAGTTGTAGGGTGGATCCTAGCGGAGGGGACGCTGCAGGCTCTGCCAGTTTTCAGGAGTCTTCATGAGCACATGTGTTTGTAAGGAGAAACTACTTAAGGCCAGGGAAGTCAACCCTAAAGGGTCAGAGGGGACAGTTCTGGGACCCAGGAACTGAGATAGTGTGCTGCAGCCAGCTGAAACTGTGGCCAAGCATTTAGGAGAACAGCAGGGTCTTTTCTCTGTAGGGGAAGCCAGAGAACCAACCCAGAACACTGCACCATCCTTCCCCAGAAAAGTCTAAAAGCAAGGTGCAATTGGATTAATCTGTTTCCAGGCATCTTAACCATGTTCCAGAGCATACCTGAAGCAGGTTATAGAACACAAGGCTTTCTGGAGCGAAAGAGTTATAGTTCTGCAATGCATTAGTCATCAGGCAGAAAAATAAACAACACATGACCCATGTTCCATACTGGGGAGAAAGTCAACCAAGGTGACCCAGAACTGTTAGGTACAGGCCTGACTCAGGACTGTTAGGGGCAGGCAGGATAATGGAGCCAATTCAGGACTGTTAGGGGCAGGCAGGATGATGGAGCCGACTCAGGACTGTTAGGGGCAGGCAGGATGATGGAGCCGACTCAGGACTGTTAGGGGCAGGTAGGATGATGGAGCAGCAATTACTCTTCCAGAACTCAAAAAAAAATCATAGACAAAGAAGAGAAAAAAGCCTAAATTACATGCAGATGATGGCTAAGGTGTATGGATTGTGGGATTAACATCAGATTAGAAATTCCAGATTAAGACAGGGAGGAGCCTGGAACCTTACCCACCTGGACCATGTTCATACTCTAGATCTAGCTGTGTTCATGCACAGCCTGATAAATGCAATTCTAGCTTCTTTTTGTGGCAGATGGGATTGGACAGAAGTCCATAACTGGTCCCCTAACCTAGTTGGTATATCTTCAATGTAATGTGTGTGTGTGTGTGTGTTTATCAGAGGCTGTGCACAGACAGCCATGGCCCCTGGGGCTGGGCTGTGGCACAAGGCACAAATACAGAGATTGGCTATTGGTTACATGGTGTAGCCTGATGGCTGCAACCAATGCACACTTCCAATGTGGAGCAAATGCTGTACTTGGTCGTCATCCGGTTTTGGCAGAAATATGGAAATGATAGATGAAGTTCGTAACAAAACAGAAGCTGTTACCAAATGCTGTTACCTGCCACGGGAAGCTAGGCGGGCTTTGGCAGCCTCTGATGTCTTCGGAAGCCAGGGTCCCGCAGGCACACTTGTCTTCATTCGTGGTGGCGACATGAGAAGAAAATCAGTGGTTTCCGAGAATGTGGGGCCTACATTGGTGCTAGCCGGAAGTCTCCTCTGAATGCTGGTCGACTTGAGGTCATTGGTGGCCATGGGGAGCAAGGTGAAGCTGAACTGCCTGAACCCAGGCTTATTTGGGGGGGCAGTTTGGATAATAGGGCAATGGGCCTCCTGACACAAAGCACTTCCAACACTGCGGTTACTCTAGTGTGGAGGCCAGAACCCCAAGTCAGCAATTATATAACATGAACAACAACACTCCACCCCATAAGCATGGTGACAGAAGGAAGGGGGCGTGGAGGTGGGACGGCCTACCTCCGGGAGAACTCACCGTAGGGACTGCATGACTTGTGGTCCTTGCCCAGCTTGTAGCCCTTCGCACAACTGCACACGTAGGATGACTCCCCTGGATGGCAGAAGTGCTGGCACCCATCCGTCCTCTCTAGGTGACATTCGTTTGTAGCTGAGAAGGAAGAAAAAGCTAAAACCAGCCATGCCGATGGGGAAGAGCCAACGTCATTGTCTTGTGCTTGCCAGTCCTAGTGTTGCTTGTATGTTACAAGTACAAAGAAAATATAAACATGAAGCTGCATCCACACTCCTCATCCTCTCTAGTTTGCCAGTTTTCATATGAAGCTTCCCACACTCAAGTGTTCCGGGTATGTCCCCGGAGACGCAGTGAGATGTTTGGCCTCAGGAGGAGTTACCTGGACATATCGTATATATGTCCCTAGTTATTTTCCTTTCCCACTGCAAGAGCTGCTGTCTTTGGATTGTTCCTTCAAAGAGCAGAAATGGAACCACGAGGGGGTCAGAGCCCAGTGTTGGTGGCCGAACAGCTGAGGTGGGGCTGAAGTGTAAGTGGGACACCCAGAAAGCATTGCCAGGGAGGTGATGGGGTGTGGGAATCTGGAGCTGAGAGCAAAGATCCGGGCTAAAGAAACTTTTCTCGCAGAGAGCTGGTTCTGAGCGACAGAGACACAGAAAAAGGTACATGCCTTTGTTTCTGTAGTTGACAATTACCAGGAATTCATCCCCTTGGCCCTATGAGGTCATTTGCAGGGGTATTTTAGGACTATTCTTAGTCAGTTCTGGTGGTACAGGTCTGAGTTGGGAGAATCATAAATTCAAGGCCTGTCTGGACCACACAGCAAGTTCCTGGACTACACAGTAAGTTCCTTTATTTTTATTTTTTATGTAGAGGGGTGTTTCGCCCATATGTGTCTGTGTACCATATGGGTGCAGTGACCACAGAGGCCAGAGGGGGTGCTAGATCCCCCTGGGACTGGAGTTATAGAAGGTTATGAGCTGCTGTGTGGATGCTGGGAATCAAACCTGGAAGAGCAGCCCATCCTCTTAACCTCTGAGCTACCTCTCTTGCCCCATGCTTAGCAAGTTCAAGGACAGTCTGGGGAATATATTGAGACCCTACATTCAAATCCTATAGGTGAAAAGGGGGAGGGGCCTATTTACTTTTGAAGCTCTGCTTTTTCTGTCTAGAGTATCCCCGACGGGCATGTCAGTCAGACACATCTGTGTGCACCTCTTCCAACTTGTATGCAGATTATGGATTTGGGAGGTGGATGGTTGGGAAAGGGGAGAAAAGGGAGACCCTATGCTATAAAAATATCAAGAGGGCAAGGGGCCGAGCAGTGGGTCACAGAATGCAGCCAGCACCTGTCGCATGACTTCCAGGGTGGGGTAGAAGAGGGGAACCAAAGAGTTCCCTGGGATGAGTGTATCAAGGCCCCCAGGGCACCCTTCTCTGAAGCACAATTAATAAGAACTCAGAGAGAGAGAGAGAGAAATTGGGGATCAACCTGAAGGTCCGAAAAGCCAAACAGCCAGCCACTGGTTCTTACCTTTAACCTCAATTCAAAACAGTGATCCTGCCTCCAGGAATCTCAGAATGAGACTGAGACCTGTCTCCTCCCATTTTATATTCCTCTAGTTCTGGGATTAAAAACATGCACCACTGGATTTAAGGCAGGTACCACCCAGTTTCTATGGCAACTAGTGTGGCTACTGGGATTAAAGGTGTGTGTTACCACTGCCCAATCTATCAGGCTGGCCAGTGGGGCTGTTTTACTCCCTGATCTTCAGGCAAGCTTTATTTATTAAGCTACAAATGCAAAGCCCCTACACTGAGCAGGCTGCTCTGAGCAGGCTGCTCTGTCTCTCAGCGAGCCCCACCATGGACTGGGCATGGATGGTGCCTCTTACCCATTGCGCAGTTTCTGCCCTCATAGCCAGGAGAACATGTGCAGCTATAATTGCGGATGTGGTCCTTGCATATCCCGTTGTTGAGGCAGGGCTGGGAGATACATGGAGAACCACCTATGGAAGCAGAAGGGCCTCTGAGACTGCGCTGTGGGCTCCTTGAGCCAGACCCATCCTAAGCTTGCTGTACTAGAGAAGAGGAGGCCAAGTTCTGGGTGCTTGCTGTCCGCTGGGTGCCATGGGCCCCCAACCCCCAAGCTCTCACCATCACTAATGTGCACCCCAGGACCTTCTACTCATTTCAAAGTGTGTCCTTGCTCCCATCCACCACGTGGTCTTCACTTGTACACATCTTTCTGTCGACACCCACCCTATCCTCCCGAGGATAGCCTACAGAGCAGACCCCAAGACAAACATCTGGGTAACGGCCACAGTCCTCTCAAATCTGATCCATCTCCTGGCCTACAGCATGCCCCTTCCCAGAAGTAAGATAAGCTGTGAGGTGGGGGAGGGCTCCTGTCTTTTGCCCGAGCACCAACTGCCTAGGAACACCCAGCCATCAGCACAATGAAACCAGAGGCCTCCTTGTGGTCCTGCTAGTGGGATTCTTGGGATGAATGTCCTTCCCTGGGCAGACACCAGGACACAGGAGGGTTAGAACGTGAAGCCATGGGCCCCAGTGAAGACTGTCCTGAGTCTCGACCAGGCCAGAGAGCTGAGAAAACACTTACCCCTGTACTGTTTCCAGAATCTTTCCTGCCAAGGCAAAAGGTAAGAGCGTTAATTTCTGTATTCAGTCTCCCATGGATGGACTCAGGGCTAAGAAAACATGGGCTGTACTCAGTCATTCGGAGGAGGTGGAATCTCTGTGCATGATTTTACAGCCTGTTCACACGGAGCAGGAGTGGCATGTTCTACGCCAGGTTACTTACCATGTCTCCTGGGGAGGGAGGAGGTTGTGTGTGAGGACACAAAGCTACAGGGCTCCTTCCCAGCTGCTTTCCACCTCACTCTACAGAGGTGCCTGGTGATGGTCTGAAATCCCCATTTTTTATTTTAGAAGTGCACTGTTATAATTGTAAATGTTCGTGGGGGAGGCTGGAGTGGGATACCCAAATGAACTATTTGTGGTGTGCCCCCAAACCATACTGGAACTTCCTAATGATGTGTGGATGATGTCACGATCGCTCTACGATCGCTCTGCCACTCCCGCACGAAAATAGCCACTGCCCCTTAAGTTTTGACTCCCTCTTCCTGCCTTCTGATAATCTTGTGAGTAATTAAACATGCCAAATGTTCACCTGATTGTTAGAGTGTATAACAGGTGTAAGAAAAGGATTTACCTAATCCAGAGTAGAGATCACGGGAAATTTTCTTACAGTGTGTATGCACGGGCTTGCATGTGTGTGCCTCTTTCTCTGTGTCTCTGTCTCTGTCTCTGTCTCTGTCTCTCTCTCTCTCTCTCTCTCATATTTTCCCAACATGTGCAAACAGTGGAGTTTGGCGATTTGGCTGTGGTGTGATGGGCAGGTCTCCCCAACTAGGAGGAGTCTAGAGTGTGAGCCCCACCTGCTGCTGACGCCAGTTTGCTCCCATCTCTAAGTCTGACTTCTCGTCTGTGAAGTCTGTGAAGTCAGGCTCGTACCAACCTCACCACAGGAAATGGGCTAATGAAACCTGCTTTCTGATACAGTTGGGCCTGAACAGTTCGCATGCGCGTGCACCTGGGGGCTTACGGGGCTCACGTACAGCAGTGACGTCATTTTCAGGGTTTATGGGGCTCACGTACAGCAGTGACGTCATTT